TATCATGGATTCTGCACGCTTCGTCTAATCCGTTGATTCCCCGATCACCACGAGCTAATCTTCTCTCTAGCTTTGTACCAGGACCACAGAAATTATAACCAGGTAGATACGTCTCAAAGGGTAGAGCGTTAATTATATTATTTACGAGACCAGTTCCCTGTTTGACATTTCTTTTATGACTTTTTACATTATAAATATGTTTACCCATATTATAACAACCTCTATTATCAAAAGTTTGTCATTGAATGAAGTACTTATCTCTTGGAAAAACGAATTAAGCCAATACAAGGAATGGGATATAACACATTTTTAGAAAAGGATATAGTTTTGTCACTGCAGGAAGCTAAAAGTAGTTCAGTATTTATCTTTGATGATGTTGCTTGTGAAAAGCAAGAAAATATTAGGAACTATTTTAGCATGGGACGTCATAAAAATATTGATTCATTCTACTTATCATAAACTTATAAACATATACCAAAACATTTGATTCCTTATAATGCAAATTGTATTATAATGTTTAAGCAGGATGAATTGAACTTACGAAACATTTATCGAGACCATATTGTTACAGACATAAATTATGATACTTTAAAGAAAATTTCACGAGAATGTTGGATGGAAAAATATGGCTTTCTCCTAATTTCAAAGGATGAAATAAATACTGGTCGAAAATAAAAAATAAAATAAATAAAAAAGGTTTTAATCAATTTATTATTCTATAATATTATCATATATATCATATATCTTTTCCAAAATGATGCTAAATAAGACAGTTTAGAATCAAGCTTCATAATGTCTACATCGCAAACTATTGCCTTAACTGGAAATACTTTAGTTAAAAGCGAAAACTTTTTCCCACAAATTGAATAAGAAGTAATTATGAATGTCAGTTCACATTCGACAGCCCAAGCGATCGGTAGTGTTCTTCCGCGAAACGTTTACGTAGCGCAGCATCCAAGCATAAAGCAGACGAAAAGATAGCGACTTCTTATCTACATTTCGAGCGAAGAAGCAATCAATTTCGGCAACTTTAATCAACCTTATAGTTTGTTGACCCCAAACATGTTCGAACCTCCGGACATCTGGAGGAAACACCCTCCCGACGGAATATTCCTAATCGCAACTAGTACAGACGAGCATACCAAACACCTAACTGAGATATCACCATTCATCGTCAAAAAGACCATCGATTTTGAAATTCAAGGAGAAGTTATTAGTTGCAAAAAAACCAAGGACGGCAATCTACTTATTAAAATCAAAAACAAATTACAAGCCGAAAAACTAATGAAACTAGGACCATGCCTACAAATATACCATCCCACATTATACCCATCAAAATTACTGAACACCGAAGCCTTAACTCTACTAGAGGAATAATTTATTCAAACGACTTAAGAGGAATTGATGAGCAAGAAATATTGGAAAATCTCAAATCGCAAAAGGTTGAAGCCGTAGAAAAAATCTACAAATATATACCTGGACAACCCTTCGCCAAAACACATCAAAATGAAACCGGACTTATCAAAATTACTTTCAAACTAACCAACCTACCAGAATCACTATACATTGGTTACGAGAAAGTTCAGGTACGACCTTACATTCCACCCCCAATGCGCTGCAACAACTGCTTCCACTTCGGTCATACCGCTAAGTTCTGCAAACTGTGGACTCCCAGCCCACGTAAATTTCGCCAACGCAGAAATATGCCAAAACGCCCCAAACTGCATTAATTGCACCACTAAAAAGCTTCCCGAGACTAACCACCACGCCCGCAACAGAGCATGCCCAATTTTCTTGTCCAACAAGGAAGTCCAGGCAATCAAGACGCTAGAGAAAGTCCATCTACAACAAACGACACCACGATGGCTCTTCATACTCTTCAGCAGCTAAATCAAACGCAATCCAAGCACAACCATCAACTAGCAGGAAAACAGTAAGCTACACACCAAACGAATTCGACCTACCTACCGCAACGAACCTCATCTCAGACGAACCCATGTCAACAGAATTGGAAACACCCAGCACCTCCCAGCCCGACCCCACCACAAAGAAATTAACTAAAATCCTCCCCTTAAACACATCAAATAAAACCAAACGACTAATGAAAACTGAACAGAGCTCAATTATGACTAGAGCAAAACTTAAATCCATTTCCGCTATAAATCCAGATCAATAAATCAATTAAATACCACTTACTATTACCATATATCCTTATCTATAAGTACACCTTAATATTAATCAATTCGATATGCTAAAAGTTATACAATGGAACATACACGGCTATAGAAATAATTATACTGAACTACAAATGTTAATTAAAGCTCAAAACCCACACATTATAGCCCTACAAGAAACCCATTTATCAAACCTCTCCTCACTCCCCACCCCAATCAACTACACACTTTACACCAGCGTCAACAACAGCAATAGCTTTGGTGGCGCAGCTCTCCTCATTCATAATTCCATTACCCAAAACCAAATTCCACTGAACGCAGACTTCGACGCAGTCGGAGTTAATATACACTCCAAAATCAAATTCACCATAATATCTGCCTACATATCTCCCACCAAAACATTTAATTCTAAAAATCTAGAAAACATCCTTGACCCGCAAAATGCCCACACGCTAGTGCTGGGTGACTTTAACAGTTGGCACCCGTACTGGGGTTCACCAAAACAAAACAGTAGAGGTAAAATTATAGCCGAATACATAGACAAATCTGACTACATTCTCCTCAACGACAAATCCCCCACTCATTTCTCCACCCATAAGACCTTCACACACATAGATTTATCTTTTGCCTCAGCGTACATAGCCCCTGAAATCCAATGGAAAGTGCTAGATGACCTATATGGCAGCGATCACTTCCCTATACTAATATCCATGTTTAACGACCAAACTTCTCCTATCTTTATGTCAAAACCATTAAAAACCTACCTATCGCTGTTAAATATAGAATAATCAACCACTTCAACATCATTCTCTCCACCCACATCCCACAATCATTTAAACTTAGTCTCGTCCTACCTATAGCTAAGCCGCAAAAACCCAAAACGGATCTAACATCGTACAGGCCCATCTCATTAAATCCATGCCTAGCTAAAGTTCTGGACAAAATTATGGCTAAAAGATTGTGGTGGTTCGTTTTAAATAACGATCTCATACACAATAGCCAATTCGGCTTCAAAAAAGGCAAATCTGTACTAGATTGTCTACTCTACGTAGACCACCTAGCCTACAGATCCATTGCCTTAAAAAAGCACCTCTCAATCATATCGCTGGATTTCACTAAAGCATTCTGTTGGGGCAGCGCTTCCTTCCTTCAAGGCAAGGGGAGTTGTGGAAGATGAAAAATTCCCGCGGCGCAAGCAAAGTAGTGCGAAGTCGAAATAAGAAAAAAACGGGGGCGTCGTAGGGAAATTCACACGCAGTCGATCAGCTTTATTTCGCTGCATACATAAGACTAAAAACTAAAACTTAAGCAAGCGGCCAGCTCCCGCCCGCTTACTTCGCTAAGCGAGAGCGAGAGAGCGGCAGCGGCCGATCCAAGTGTTTGGCCCGCGCTCGAGAGTGCGAAAGCGCGCAGCGCTGCGGGAGAGCGAGCGCGGGAGAGCAAGAGAGGCGAGAGCGGAAAGCTCAGCCGGCAGCGGTGGAGCAATGGGCCGCGTACCTAAACATTCCGCCCCCCCTTGCAATCACTCGGGTTGCAATAGGGCCGTGGACATTACGGCTGGTGACACGCGCCGGAGACGACCCAGCCGAAGACGGTGCTCTGGGCCACCGGGAGCCCTTCGTGGATCTTGAGGAACCCCGGTTGCATCACACGCGGATACATGTCCGCGCCCAGGTCTACGGAAATCGTTGCTGGCAAGTAGAAGCGCTCATCGGCTAGCATGACGTCCCGGAAGTGGGCGCGCACCGCCTCACTCAGCTCCCGGACGGGAGTGCGGATGCGCACGCGAGGCTCCACCTTGAAGACCACGTCGAGTTGGACCTCGTTGTCGGCCTTGGACCTCACGGTAGCCGCACAAATATGCTCTTCACCGACGCTGGTAGTTGGCAGCCGGAAACACGCTGCCAGCGACGCGTCTATACAGCTCACAGGCGTGCATGGGTCAATGAGGGCCGCCGTGTCGAATGTCTGCGTCTCGGTCTGAATGCGCACCAGCGCAGTCGGCAGGATGTTGACGCTGTGCCGCTGCAGGAGCGACGACAGCGACGGCGCCGCAGACGCAAAGCGGCCGGCGGAACCTTGCTTCGGAGCGGCAGGCGAGGGCCGAGGAGCCACTGTAGACTGCCGTGGAGCGCCGGACGAAGGCTGCGGCGCGGGTGCAGAACGTCGTGGAGCGGCGGACGAGGACCGCTGAGCTGCTGAGGAACGCCGGGGAGCGGCGGACGAAGGGCGCGGATCGGCTGCAGACCGCCGTGGAGCGGCAGACGAGGGCCTCGGAGCGGCTGAGGACCGCCGTGGAGCGGCGGATGCGGGTTGCGGAACGGTTGCCGAACGCCGTAGAGCGGTAGACGAAGGCCTAGGAGCTGGAGAACCCCGCGACCGGGACCGTCGCGCCTCCTGACGCGACTGGCGCGGACTCCGCGGCTCATCGGAGAGGTGCAGCAATGTGTGGTGGTCCTGGCCGCACGTCTTACAGCGATCTCCCCGCTGACACCCTCCGTCAGAGTGCTCGTGGGCCAAGCAGTTGGGGCAGTACCGGTTGGCGAGGACGGCCCGGAGTCGCTTCTCGGCACTCAGCCGCAGAAAACGGCGACACTTCTTCAGCGGATGAACCTTGTTGCAGACTCGGCACCGGTAGGAATTTGAACCTCGCGAACCTCTGCGCTCCAGGGCGATGGCGCTGCGTGGACGTGGAGACAACGTGCTGCTATTACTGGCGGAATGAGACGGAGATAAAAAATCGAAATAAGTAATAGGCACTCGCAAGTCGAGACACAAACAGGAGCTACGGAACGGCACATTGACATAGAACATTGAGGCCGGTGGCTATTGGGGACCGGCGGAAGCTTCCGTCGGAAGAAGGACGAGCTTCGCTATAGGACGCTTAATGAGTCCACGCGCCGTGCGGATGTCGACCACACGGACATGGCCATCGGCTCCGGGAAATACCGCGTCAATCCTGCCTAACCGCCACTCATTGGACGGAAGGTTGTCCTCCTTGACAACCACCATGTCCCCGACCTGAAGATTCCTTGCCGGAGCTCGCCACTTATTCCGCTTATGGAGTTCCTTCAGGTACTCCTCCTTCCATCGTAGACGAAATTGCTGGTTAAGCGCCTTCAGATGTTGCCAGCGGTTTATGATGACCGTGGCGTCCCCCTTTATTTCGGGTTCAACCACGGCGAGGAGGGGCCCCCCAACAAGAAAGTGCCCAGGAGTCAGTGCCAACAGGTCCGCGGGGTCTTCGGACATCGGCGCGAGCGGACGCGAATTCAGGCACGCCTCGATCCTAGCTAGAAGTGTGGACAGCTCTTCGAATGTGTATTTTCGCGTGGCCGTAGACTTGTAGAACAGGGTCTTGAAACTTTTAACGCCTGCCTCCCACAAGCCTCCCATATGAGGGGCTCCCGGCGGAATGAACTGCCAGAGCAGCTGCTGGTGACTGTAAGCACCAGTCACAGCCTCCTTGACAGCTTGTAGGAAGTCTCGGGAGAGAAGGGTAGCCGCACCCACGAAGGTCTTCCCGTTGTCCGACTGAACCTGACGGGGGCATCCTCTTCGGGACACAAAACGGGCAAAAGCGGCGAGAAACTTCTCAGTCGTAAGGTCGGATGTGGGCTCTAGATGAATGGCACACCAACACATACCCCTTTGTGATGAGGCAAGCTCGACCCGTGTAATTCTTTATGTCGAAGGGACCCGCATAGTCCACACCAGTAAATGTGAAGGGGCGCGAAAAAGCTGTCCGTTCTTGCGGTAAGTCTCCCATGAGTTGCGTCTGCAACTTCTTTTTGTGGATGACGCATATCTTGCAGGAATAGATGACGGACTTGACCAAATTCCTCACCCTTGGGATCCAGAATTTGGAACGGATCAGGCGGATCATCAGCTGGTTGCCACCGTGCAACGTTATGCGATGCGTAAATCGGACTAGGAGTCGAGACAGATGGCAGTCGTACGGAAGGATGACCGGATGCCGTTCGTCATATTGGAGCAGATCGGAGGACGTGACCCGGCCGCATGCTCTCATGAGCCCTTGGGAGTCAAGGAACGGGTTCAGGTTCTGAACCGGACTGGATGCTGGCACTGGCCGCTTTTGGCTCAAGCAGCCAATTTCAAGGACGAAGTGCCTGCGTTGCGTGACGGAAATTAGGAGACGTTCAGCCGCCGCGATTTCTGAAGCTGTCAGGTGATCCTCAACCGGAGACAAGACCTTTCGTGCGCGCTGAATAAACCGATGAACGTAAGCGAAGACTCGCAACGCCTTGTCGAGTGTCGAAAATCGGTCAAGAAGGTCTTCAGGGGGAGCTTTTGCCACATGGACTCTGACAGCTCGCTTCTCGAGATCTGTCACGGGGGAATCATTGCCTTGGAGGGGCCACTCGCCGCGCGGCCTTTGCAGACAGGCTGGACCATGCCACCACAGCTGGCTGTCTGCGAGGTCTTGAAGCCCTACCCCCCGGCTGGCAAGATCGGCCGGGTTATGTTCGGAGCGGACATGTGCCCATCTCTCGACCTGAGTGAATTGGGTAATCTTGGTCACCCGATTGGCCACGAAAGTTGTCCAGTGACACGCCGGCCTATGCAACCAAGCGAGCACAATCGTGGAGTCAGTCCAACAGTACAGGGCGGACGCAGGCCCGGGCATCTTTGGAAGAATGGCGCTGGCCATTTCGGACAGTAGCAATACCCCGCATAACTCGAGCCGCGGAAGCGACACCGTTTTGACTGGGACAACCCTCGTTTTTGCCGTTAGCAGATTCACCATCACAGTGGCCCCAGCCTCCACCCGGACGTAAATGGCGGCGCCATACGCCCTCTGCGAGGCGTCGCAGAACCCATGATGCTCGATCTTCAAATGGGGTCGGAACGCGACCCATCGGGGAATGCGGATCTGATCGAGAGCAGAGTAGTGTCCCAGGAAGTCAACCCATCTCTGGCAGAAATCTCGAGGGAGGTCATCGTCCCACGCTAGATCTTGGAGCCAAATTTCCTGCATGAACATTTTTGCCTGGACGATGAAGGGGGCGAGCCAGCCCGCTGGATCAAATAACTTGGCAATCTGGGATAGGACCTGTCGCTTCGTGAACGATGATCCCGCGGTCAATTCGGGCGGAATGAAAAAGAACTCATCAGACGTCGCTTTCCAGCGTACGCCGAGAGTCTTAGCCGTGCTCTCTGCGTCGATCTCGAGGAAATCAGCGCGCAGGAGATGGTCACTTTGGATGTTGGCCAGAATGTCCTTGCTATTGGACGTCCATTTCCTCAGTGGGAACCCTGCCGAACCCAGGGCACCCTGGAGCTCACGGATAGCTACCTTCGCTTCGATTTTGGAGTCTGCCCCTGCGAGAACGTCGTCGACGTACATAAAATGACGGATAATATGACTCGCCTGAGGATACCTTGACTCCTCGTCGTCGGCGAGTTTCTGGAGGACACGGATCGCTAAGAACGGGGCACAATTGACTCCGAAGGTAACCGTCTTCAGCTCGTAGTCGCGGAGTTCCCCATTGGAATTGCGGAACAGGATGCGCTGGAAAGAAGTATGCTGGGGATCTACCCAAATTTGGCGATACATCTTTTCGATGTCGGCATTGAAGACGAACCTAAAGTACCTCCACTTTAGGATTTGAATCGTGAGGTCGGATTGTAAGACCGGGCCCGCATATAGAATGTCATTCAGGCTGGTTCCGTTTGCGGAGGGGCTCGACGCATTAAAAACCACTCGGACCTTAGTGGTGGTGCTTTCGGGCTTCAGAACCGCATGATGAGGAAGGTAGTATGTGGCGAAACTGCTAGTCGACGGAACCTCCGCCATGTGACCTAATTCAAGGTACTCTTGGATGACAGCATCATACCGGGCCTTGAGGGGAGGATCCCTCTTTAGGCGCTGCTCGTTACGCAGGAACTGAGCCAGAGCAAAGGATCGCGAAGATGCGAGCTCGGACCTCTTGTGCGCGGGGTCGCGTAAGGGAAGCGTTACCACGTACTTGCCGCAGTTGTCTCTTCGTGTAGTTTGGACGAAATTTTCCTCACAGACGGAATCAGACTCTGGGACAATCTGTTTGGACACTTCCTCCACCTCCCAGAATTTGGTAAGGAGCTGGTCCAGGGAGTCGTCGAGGGCGCAGGTAACTCGGGTGGCGAAGGCGGAAACACTGCGGGGGGCTGCTGGAGATACTGGGCCTGTCAATACCCATCCAAAAATGGTCTCCTGGCCAAGAAGGGAGCCGCAAATGTTAGCCTTGGAGTTGCCGAGGAGAATAGACGGAAGAATGTCGGCTCCTATTAGGACATCGATTTGGGAGCTCTCAAAGAACTTGGGATCCGCAAGGGGGATGTCGGGAAGCCCCTTAAGAAGATCTCGTGGGACTGGATACGAGGGCAGACTCCCGGCCAGCTGCGGAAGAACGTAAGCTGCAGTCTCTAACTGCAGCCCGGGTCTGGAGGGCGATCGCATGGAAAACTGGCAGAGCTTCGTGGACTGAGCGGCCACGGTGTGATTCAGGCCCGAGACTTGGGCTTGGATAGTCGTGAACGGAAGTTTGACGAGGTTGAAAAGCCTCTCCGTGATGAATGTCGCCTCGGAACCCGAGTCGATTAAGGCTCGCGCCTGGAAATTGCACCCGAAATGGCAAATATCAATGAGGGCTGTGCCCAGTAAAACGGCCCTTGAGCCCGAAGCGAAACACACCTGCACATCAGGATGATCCTCAGGAGTGGCCGCGGGTCGAATCCTGCCAGGCGCAGGTGGACTTGGAGCGGTCGCGAATGGATTACCGCGGTGCAGGAGGGTATGATGGCGACTGTGGCAAGTGAAGCAACTATGGGCACTTCTACAGTCCCGCTGTTGGTGCCCTCGCGCAAAACAGTTAAGGCATAACTGTTTTTTCTTAATATAGTCGGAGCGACTATTTACGTCCATCTCGAGGAACCGTGGACACACGCGAATCGGATGGTTCTCCCTGGAACGAAGATCACATCCTCTTGGGGCCGGAGCCACTCTGGCCTCGTAGGAGTTGAGCCTGCGAGCTGGGGCGCTCGCAGCCGTCGGTCTTGGCGGAATTTGCCCTGAATTGCTAGGCCTGATGTCGTCGATCGCTTCCAGAGTGCGACGCCGCTCTGTCAGAAACGAATCTAACTCGTTCCAGGTCGGAATTTCAGCCTTGTTGTGTATGGATTGCTCCCACATCGAAAGTGTGATTTTGGGAAGCTTTAAGGAAACCATATACACTAAGAGACAATCCCACGCCTCGATTTGAATGGAGGACATCGCTAAGGCTGTCAGACAACTTTGGACGGTGCTTTGCAGTTCTTTTAGAGCTGCTCCGGACTCTTGGGGGACAGCCTGAATGTTGAAAAGGATTTTCAACTGGCTGTTGACAAGTAACCGCCGATTCTCGAAGCGGTCGGTGAGGCTTTGCCACGCGGAGACGAAGCCATCATTTGTCAGAGGGGCCTTGGATACGATGGCGTGCGCATCGCCACTTGTTTTGGACAACAAGTGGAACAACTTTTCTACCGGTGTGAGGCGCGAGTTGTGAATATATATCGCGGTGAAAAGGTCCCTGAAGGTGGGCCACCGAAGATAATCGCCAGCGAAAACTTCTGTGTCCACTGGTGGCAATCGACAACCCATGGACGGGGGTGTGGGCATAGGGGCGGAAGCCGGAGTGGACTGGGCGGCGGCCTTGTCGATTATTCCTTGTAACAGGACCACACACCTCGAATAGACGGAGTAGCAATAACTGTACTTGGATTCAAGCACAGCTGAGGTGGCAGCGCTGTCGGCGGACACGGACAGTAGGTCGGAGCAGTTTTCATAGCTCTTCTCCACCTTATCCCACAGGGCCCGAATCTGATCCCGATGAACCTGGCACATGGCGGGGGAAAAACTATCGGTTTCAGGGGCGCTCGGAGTGTTGATGTCAGCCTCGAAATGGCTCACACGGTCCGTTGTGGAAATGAATTTGCGGAGGGCGATATCGAGTGCGGATTGAGCCATCTTGGTTACCGACCGAGTAAATCTGGATGAGGTACCGGGGGAAGTGTCGACGGCCTCTTGACTTTTTGCCTTTGGAATGGCAGTGGCATCCTTTGGCTTCAATTTATCAGGCCGTGGAGATACGGACTGGGACCTTTCCAGAGTAATTGACGGAATCAGAGGAGTCTGTTCCTCGTCTCCCGTGGGCATACTTGCAGACGAATGGGTCGCGAATCAGTTGGTCGCCTCAGGCCACGTACAAGTCCCGAAATCAATGGTTCGAAACCGTGACGGAACACAAGTTTTGGAATGGAACTTAGGATCACTTTGGCAACGGGGCGCACTAGGAACTGCCAGAAGCCGCGGAACTGCAGGATCTGCAGTACAAAATATCCCAGAAAAAACTCCGTACTCGGAGAGGAGGACAATGTGCTTGCTTACGGTCACACTGCTAGTGGATGCCGCGGGTGAATGCAAGAATTAAATGCCGGGCTCAGGTTCTGAGAGCCTCGGGCACCACCGAGAAAAGAATTGACGAAAACTCGTGAAGGAGGAAATCACTCGAGTAAGGGCGTCGGGCGGCGACTTAGACCAAAAATAAATAAAACAACGAACGTCGACCGGAATGTCGAGGAACAAAATTTCTGTATTTAGATGTCTCGGATGAGAAGGTTGTATCCGGCTTTGGTCGGCTCAGAACAGGACTAAACAGAGACCCACGAATGTTTGGTTTCTTCCCGCAATAAATGAATTAATCCACCAATAATTCGAAAAAAAAATTATTGGCCGCAAATAATTAGTTAATAATTCGGAAAATTATTGGCCGCAAATAATCCACTAAGAATTCGAAAAATTATTGGCCGCAAATAACTAATTAATAATTCGGAAAATTATTACGGAGCCGAAAAGGTGGAATTAAAACCTTGGCTTTTGTTTGGAAGAACACGGGCACTGGGTTCTGCCGCCGGCAAAAAACAACCCCAATAAAAATACAGGCGCTGGCGGTTAATTTGGAAAAGTCGGAAAAAAAAACAGTCGTAATCGCACCCGTGAATTGATTTACCGTTTTGTCCTAAACGTTTGTTGTTTTGTCGCGGTTTATATATATATTTTATTTTAATTTATTTTATTTGAATTTTTTATAGTTTATTTATTGGTCGTTCCTGTGTAGGAGGCAGAAAATATATGTATATTGTATGGGCATGCATGCATATGGAAATATATGTGTATGTGTAAGCCTTGTGCTTCACAGTGGAGCTTTGAGAAGTGGACTGTATTTGGATTGGCGGAATAGCACAAATTATGTGGAGAAAAAAAATTGCACACAACAAAAAATATCGCGGCAGCGGCGAACTGTTCGGCGAACAGGGAACTCCCGAAACAATTACTTTTCGGATGCCGAATATTAATTATGCCTTTATTTTTCTTCACCACACAATTTCACTTGCCTTTTGACTTTTGCGGAGATGCCGATATTTGGCGCGCGAGTGTGTGTGTGTGTACCGGAGCAACGGAGGAACCGAGAATCGAAAAAAAAAACCAGGAATATGGCGACACACACAAAGCGGAGGCGGATAGAAAATTTCCACGAAACGACGAGAACAGAGGACTGGAAATTTCTCAACTGCCGGTGTGTCAGGAAAAACTCGGACTTTGAGTCGACACGGAAAATTTGCAGCAGAGTGAACGAAATTTATGTTCGGACCACTGCTGAAGATCGGCAGAGAGGGGGGGAGACGGAATGCTCGTACTTATCTTGGTGGAGAGAAACGCCGAGAACTGCTGGGGGCGAAGTTGAAAATAATCCGGAGTCCAAAAAGAATCCGGCTCGAAGGACCAAAATGTTGGGGCAGCGCTTCCTTCCTTCAAGGCAAGGGGAGTTGTGGAAGATGAAAAATTCCCGCGGCGCAAGCAAAGTAGTGCGAAGTCGAAATAAGAAAAAAACGGGGGCGTCGTAGGGAAATTCACACGCAGTCGATCAGCTTTATTTCGCTGCATACATAAGACTAAAAACTAAAACTTAAGCAAGCGGCCAGCTCCCGCCCGCTTACTTCGCTAAGCGAGAGCGAGAGAGCGGCAGCGGCCGATCCAAGTGTTTGGCCCACGCTCGAGAGTGCGAAAGCGCGCAGCGCTGCGGGAGAGCGAGCGCGGGAGAGCAAGAGAGGCGAGAGCGGAAAGCTCAGCCGGCAGCGGTGGAGCAATGGGCCGCGTACCTAAACACATTCGATAGAATAGGCATCCACACCATCATCCACCAACTACACAACTGGAAAATAGGACAAAAAACCATTAACTATATAAAACACTTTATGACAAATAGAAAAATCATAGCTAAATCTGGAAAATTCCTCTCGGATACATTCCCCCTAAACAATGGCATACCACAAGGCTCACCCATCTCAGTAATTCTCTTCCTGATAGCATACAATTCCTTATCTAATATAATTTCAATCTCAAAAGATATTAAATTATGTACTTATGCTGACGACTTCCACCTCATCATCCAACACAATAAACATAAAAATCCCACAACCAACCTATCAACCACCTTTAACCAAATTGATGAATGGTGCTCAAAATCAGTCCTTTCAAAGGAAAAATGCCAAATAATTCATATCTGCCGCAAACACAATTGCAAAGCCAAGATAATCGCAGGTGACTCACAAATCCCAATCACAAACACTCTTAAAATTTTAGGACTTACAATAAACAATAGATACAACTGGAACTCCCACATCAACAAACTAAAATCAGAACTTGCCAAACCTCTAGGGATAATTAAACACCTTTCCTCTCTCAAATACAACACAGACACAACAACACTAATCCAAATTGTCAAATCAATTATTGTTTCAAAAATAGACTTCTGCCTTCCTATATATGGACGTGCACCCAAATCACAACTTAACCACCTAAAAACCCCACTAAACGCAGCAGTTAGATCAGCATTGGGGGCATTCCGCTCCACACCCAAAAACAACTTGCTGACAGAAGCCGGCATTAACACAATTGAACACAAAAGAGACTTCCTCATCGGCAAACTCTCCAAAAACTTAATCCAGGCCAAAGACACACCATTAAAAACTCTTACCAAGCCCGTAAAAAAGACCTACAGATACCCCAGCACAATAGATGAAATAGTAAAGATATGTAAAGCTAACTCCATCCCTTACCTCCCAATAAAGAAAAATATCTGTAAGAAATTCAACATGTCCAATGTCCTCAAAGCAACAGACACCTCCCTCTCAAATTTTAATAAAAACGCAACAGCCCCAATTGTATTCCAACAACTCTTCCATTCCTTGAAACTCTCCTACCCTAACTAAACCTTTATCTTTATCTATACGGACGGTTCCAAATCCTCCGGCATAACAACCTAAAGCATTACAAGTGAAAGCGAAACAAATAAAATTGGACTCCTACCTATTTACTCCTCAGTACTTTCGAGCGAGATAATAGCGATCCAGGAAGCCATGCAAATTTACATCAAATTGCCAGGCAAATATGCCATTTGCACCGACTCCCTATCAGCAGTTTCCGCTATCACCAACCAAAACAACCACGCTCACTACCCAGCCTCCATTAGAAACATGATCACTCAACACTTTCCAAAAATTAAACTAATCTGGATCCCTAGTCACATGGGAATAGTAGGCAACGAAAGCGCTGATAAAGCAGCTAAACTTGCCGCCAAATCCCCCTTAACGTACACCGCTAACTATAACTCAAACGATATATCTCATTTCTTAAAAATAACACTACTTGAAAAACAATCACAACTACGCACGTCTCACTGGTACCAAGAAATCAGCAGACTATCAACAACAAACCAGCCCTTGAATAACTGTTCACTAAACAGAAGAGAACAAATCATTATCACCCGACTCAGACTTGGACACACATACCTAACAAACGCTCACTATATTGACAAAACAAAAAACAACCAGTGTCCAATGTGCAACAATGCCGAAATAAATCTTCGTCATATCATTTGCACGTGCCCTGCCATTACCACACATCGTTCCTTACTCCTCCACAACCCTGACCCTATCTCCACAATAGCCAACCCCTCAAACAAAAACTCCAAAAACATCCTCAAGTTCCTAGACAACTGCAAATTTACCTACAAAATATGAAGCCGCTGTAAATATAAATTATGTACGATTCCACCTATGTATGTATGTTTAAGTTATCCTTTTGTAAATATCTATTCATTGTATCAATGTAATTACTGTAAATACAAATAAACCAACACAAACCGCGAGTCGAAGGCCTTAGATGCTATGGCTCTTTTCCCATAGTTAGATTTTAGCTTAAAACTATTTGTTAGCTTTAGATAAATAAATAAATAAAAATTATGAATGTGCTCTCATTGATTCTCCCACGCTAGCAGCTGATGAGAATAGCCAAGCAGAGCCGGAGCAGGAGACTCAAAAACAGCCAAAGCCCCCACCTATTTATATTAGGGAGAAAAGTTCAAACGCCCTGGTCAACAAAATAGTTGCGCTGGTCGGAGACGAAAACTTTCATGATGTTCCGCTTATTAAAGGGAAAATTTGTGAAACCAAAGTGCAATCCAGCTGTGTCTAAATACCTGGAAGAATAAAAAATGAACTTTTACACCTACCAACTAAAAAGTAACAAGGGACTGCAAGTAGTGCTAAAAGCCCTTAAAGGCCAGGGTTTCTTTGCCAAGATTGCAACAATATTAACAAAAACAAATAGCCGCAACCACTTTTCAAATTTGAACTTGAGCCAGATAGTAAAACCCTAAAGAAGAATGAAGTTCACCCGATCTACAAGTTTCAGTTCCTATTGCATCAAAGAATCACCGTGGAAGAACCGCACAAACGCAACGGTTCTGTGCAATGCACAAATTGCCAGGAGTACGGACATACAAGGTGTACCCCCGTACACTGAAGAAGAACTATTTCAGAGGCAGAACCCTGGTATACGACTCGGACGGCGGTGTTAGATCGGCCGAGCTCTCATGCGGAGTTCCGCAAGGGTCGGTTTTGGCACCGTTGCTGTGGAATGCCATGTACGATGGTGTTCTGCGGCTCCCGGTCCCAGGCCGGACAGAGCTAGTGGGATTCGCTGACGACATAGCCGTAGTCGTAGTCGACAAGGAACTCTCAGGAGCCGAAGAGTTGTGTGACAGGAGCATCAGCCAAATTAACTCGTGGCTGGCTGTTGGTCTACAACTAGCG